CCTGATGAGTAGGGGCCCCCTGAAGAGTAGGGGCCCCCCCCTCCGAAGCGGGGGCCCCCCCCCCAGGATGAGGGGCCCCCTCCCCAAGATGAAGAGGGGCCCCCACCCCAGGATGATGAGGGGCCCCCCCCCCAGGATGAGGGGCCCCCCCCTTCACCCCAGGATGGTGGGGGGCCCCCCTTTGGGGGCTCTAACTCTAATTTAAGAGGCCTCCCTTCTATGCAACATCCGTCAAAGGCTTCAACTGCTCGACGCGCATCAGCTAATGTACGAAAGACGCAGCCCCCTGTACCCTGTATAAATAAAAGTAAATAAATAAATAAATAAATAAATAAATAAATATATATATATATATATATATATATATATGTATACGAGAATTAATAATATAAATACATGCAAATTAGATAGATATACTCAATAGACTAAATAAAATATAATTATTCAGCATATTAACAGTATAAATATATTAAAGACAATAAATAATATTAATATAAACCATAGAGTAAATATACTTTATAAAACAAATAAAATAAACTAGATACACATATAAACATATTATATATAAAAATATGTAAATAAATAAATATATATATATACTTATATATATATATATTTATTTGTTTTTAATAGAATAAATACAGCAACATATTTATTTATATATTTAGTTTATTCTGTTTTATAAACAGAATAAACTAAATATATAAATAAATATGTTTAATAGATTAAACTAAATAAACATTTATATATATTTATATTTAATACAACAAAATAGAATAACATATTTAATATAGTAAATAGAATACAAACAAACAAACAAACAAACAAACAATAAATAAATAAATAAATAAATAATAAATAATAAATAATAATAATAATAAATAAATAAACAAAGGGTTAAGGCTTAATATAATAGATATGCCTCACCATACTTCTGTCTGTTCTATCATAGTCAACCCAAACCTTGAGCAGCCCCGTGCAGTCTTGCATTAATTCTTTTAATTCGCTCTCTATGACTGAATAGTCTAAGCCTCTTATACGTACAACAATGCTGCGGGGGCCCCTATAAGGAGCAGCAGCAGCAGCAGAAGCAGGGGGGCCCCCTAATGAAGATGCAGACCCTCGATATCTATACGATGATGAGGGGCCCCATGAAGATGAATTAGGGCCCCCAAATCCACCGCCTCGGCCCCCACGGTAGCCACCTTCTCCTCGCTGCAGCAGCAGCAGCAGCAGCAGAAGCAGAAGCAGCAGCAGCAGCAGCAGAAGCAGCAGCAGGAGAATGCTTATGACCATGGAGAGTTGATGCATTGAACACCGCTGATGCAGCAGCAGCAGCAGCTTCAGCAGCTAGTGAGAGCACTCTTCAGGATACTCTCTTGCAGCAGCAACAGCAACAGCAACAGCAGCAGCAGCAGCAGCAGCAGCAACAGCCAGACTGAGCCGCACCATGTAGCCTCCTCGTCTAACAGGCCCTTCTCTCCTTTCTGCTCTTCTCTCCCTCCTCTCTGCCTCCACAATATCGTCTGAGGTGCACATACACCGCAAACACGAAAGGCAAGTGCTGTTGCTGCAGCTGCAGCTGCTGCTGCACCTCGTGCAGCAGCAGCAGGTGATGCAGCAGCCCCCGTGCTGCAGCTGCAGCAGCTTCTTCTGGGCCGCACGAACATCAGAAGTATGCACAATCCGCATGCTGCTGCAGCACAGAAGCAGCAGCAGCCGAAGCAGCAGTAGCAGCAGCAGCACCAGCAGCACTAGCAGCAGCAAGGGCCCCGTTGCTCCCTGCCCCACCAAGCGTCATATCCAACATTGACTTCGCCATTTTGCTGTTCCTGCTGCTGTTGCTGCTGCTGCTGTTTATGGTGCTTGTGCTGCTGCTGCTGCTGCTGCAGGGAATACAGATGCTGGGAAGAGTGCCACACGAGCTGCTGCTGCTGCTGCTGCTGCTGCTGCTGCTGCAGCAAACGGCGACTTGTAGCCGTTGCAGCAGGCCCTAACTCCTGTGCTTGAGATTAAGCGATTCTGCCCTTGGTGGGTCGCCTGCTGCTGCTGCTGCCGCTGCTGCTGCTGTGGCCGCTGCTGCTGCTGCTGCTGCTGCTGCTGCTGCTGCTGCACTATAGTCCAATGGGGAACGAAAGACAACGCGAAGCCAAGATAGAGCTGCAGAGGAAGTCTAGCCTTTTAACATTTCTTCAGGGGAGCAACTCACTTGCTGAGAGTCGCAGCAGCAGCAGCCGCAGTAGCAGCAGCCGCAGCAGCAGCAGCAGCAGCGACGGCGGGGCCCCCAACCAGCACGCTGCTGCTAGCAGCAGCAGCAGACCCCCTGTCTAAACAGAAACAGTAATACACAAAGCAAAACAATGTTTATATCTTTCTAGTCTTACATTTGAGTTGCTCGCTGCGGTGTGTGGCCCGAGTTTGCTGCTGCTGCTACTGCTGCAGCTACACCAGCAGCAGGAGCAGCAGCAGCAGCAACGGGCGAAGCCGTTAGTTTTTGGGGGGCCCTTTGAGGGGCGTTGAGCTTCCGCTGAGGTGTGCGTCTCAGTAAGCAGCAGCAGCAGCAGCAACAGCAGCAGCAGCGACGGCAGCAGCACCGCGAGCGACTGCAACGCCTGTGTTGCTGCACACAGCAAAGCTTCATCAGTAGCAGCAGCAACAGCAGCAGCTACAGGAGCTGCTGCCGCTGCAGCAGCAGCGGGGATTTCTAGCCCCTCATGTGCGGGTGTGGGGGCCCCTGAGGATGAAGACAGGGCCCTCGCAAGCCCTGAGTGTCTTTGCTGCTGCTGCTGCTGCTGGTGCTGCTGCTGCACTTCCAATATGTTTTCTCTAGTAGCAGGAGTGCTGCGGTGGCTGCAGCAGCAGCAGGAAGTCCGCGTGCTGCTGCTGGGGCTCGAGGGCAGCGGGAAGACGACCCTTGCTCTGCTGCTGCGTTCCCACAGCAGCAGCAGCAGCAGCAGCAGCAGCAGCAGCAGAGGCGGGGGTGATCTTCCGCAGGTGAGCCCGACGAAAGGGTTTACGGTGTACAAGGTGCAGCAGCAGCTGCAGCAGCAGCAGCAGCTGCTGCTCTGGGATGTAGGCGGCAGCAAGCCCTTCCAGTGCTTGTGGGGCGAGTATATTAAAGATGCAGATATTTGCTTCTTTCTTTTAGACAGTATTGACACAGGAAGGCTTCCTGAGGCTGCTGCTGCTCTCGGCGCTGTCTTGGAGAGTGCTGCTGCTGCTGCTACTGCAGCAGCAGCAGCAGCAGCGGAGTCTGCAGCAGCTGCTGCTGCGGCGGGGAAGCAGCAGCAGCAGTCGCTTAAGGTCACCCCTCTACGTATTCTCGTTGTTTGCAGCAAGCAAGGCGAGCCGGGGGCCCTGGAGTGCGGCGTGCTGCTGCAGCGGCTGCTGCTGCTGCTGCTGCAGCAGAAGCAGGAGAGGGACCAGCAGCAGCAGCAGGAGCCAGAGGCAGCAGCACAACAACCGAGCCCCAAGCAGCAGCAGCAGTTGCTGCTGCAGCAGCAACAGATAATAAAACAGCATCTTATTGGCTGCTTAGGATTCAATGCTATTACCCACGTTGGCCTGGAGGAGCTGCTGCAGGCAGCAGCAGCAGCAGCAGCAGCAGCGCCGCTGCAACAGGCTCATCAGCGTGAAATGGTTGCTGCTGCATTAGAAACAGCAGCAGCAGCAGCAGCTGCTGCTGCTGCTGCAGATGCTGCCGCAGCCTCAGCGTTCGTCAGCCCATCCTCCCCAGGCGAACTGCAGCAAAGCCCTGATCAGCAGCCGAAGCAGCAGCAGCAGCAGCAGCAGCAGCCATGCGAAGCCAAACAGCTGCCAGTGGGGGAAGGACATCAATCCCCTTCTCCGTCTTGCGACGAGCTGCAGCAGCAACAGCAGCAGCACAACTCTCCCAACAGCAGCAGCAGCGGCATTAGCAGCAACAGCAGCAGCGGGGCGGCTGAAGCAGCAAAGACAGCTTCGCCGCCTAATGAAATGAAGACTGTTGCTGCTGCAGGCCCAGCCGTATCGGGGCCTCTCAGCAGAAACAGCAGCAGCAGCAACAAGAGCGGCGGCGAGAGAAGCAGCGGCAGTGCGTGCAGCAACAGTGCAAGCAGGAAGGCGAACAGCAGCAGCAGCAGAAGCAGCAGCAAGAGGGGAGGTAAGGCGTTATATGAGCCCGAGAGTGAGTCAGACTTAGATAGACTGCTGCAGCGGCAGTGGCTTGCTGCATCGCAGCATAAGACATAGCAATAGCAGCAGCAGCAGCAGCAGCAGCGGCGTTGGGCTGTACGGACACCCCAAGGGTGCATGCATGCATGCATGAAGTTGCTGCTGCAGTTGCAGCTGCAGCTGCAGCAGCTACTGAATCTCCTCAAGTTGCGAAGACAGCAGAACGAAGGCAGCAGCTTAGAGAGGCACGAGCCTGGAGCCTGCGGTGTACAGACACCTCCCGTTCATAGCAAAAATGCAGCAGCAGCAGCAGCAGCAGCAGCAGCAGCAACTGCTGCTGCTGCTGCAGCTGCTGTTGCAGCTGCAACAGCAGGCCGCGGGCATTTGCGGGAGAAGCCGCAACGCTAACAAACTGAAGCCAGCAGAATATCATTAAATGCAAACAAGAGTAAATAAATAAATAAATAAAGAGATGAAGAAGAGCACAGACCTAAGGACTGTGTACACCACAGCCAAGGAAACAGCGATTGTATTTATATTTATAAAGTATATATAATATATATTATATATTTATAATATATATTATATATGTAAGCATGCACACACACACACACACAGGGAGCCGTGCAGACGTATATATTAATATCTACACACAAGAATAAGATATATTTATATATGTATATATATATCTTTATAATTTATCTTTATATCTTTATAGAGGTATGTTAATAATAATATTTATAGAGACAAACATATATATTTGCTTCTTCAGCTCTGACGCTGCATCTTAGAAGCAGCAGAACCTGCTTCAGTTGTCGCCTGCCGTTTGCCTGCAGCAGCAGCCTGCTGCTGCTGCTGCTGCTGCTGCTGCTCTGCTTCTGCCTCTGCTTCTGCGTCTTCCTCTTCTAAGTCGTCATCTTCTTCATCTGCAGCAAACAAAGACAAATAAAAAATAAAAAACAAAATAAATATAACGAACAAATAAAAAACAAATATAAAGAAGACGTGAAAAACAAACAAATATAAAAATAACAAAAACAAAAAACAAATATATCAACGCAGAGGCGAAAAAACAAACAAATAAACATAAAAAATAAATAAAAAATAAACAAAGATGAACAAATAAACAAACAAACAAAAAAACAAACATAAAAATAAAAATAAGAATAAGGATGAGAAGAAGTGAGACGAACAAACAGAACAAACAAAACAAACAAAACAAACGAAAAACAAACAGCACATTACTTATTACTACTTATTACTACTTATTACTAATACTATTACTATTACTATTACTACTAATACTATTACTACTAGTACTATTACTGCTATTGCTGTTAATACTATTACTATTTCTGCTAATACTATTACTACTAGTATTAAAACAACTATTTCAACAACAAATACTGTTATAACAACTCAAATAACAATAATAATAAGTATAATAACAACAAATATTATAATAGCATGTATAATAACAAGTATTATAATAACAAGCTTAATAAACTTTTATAACGAGTATAACAGCAACAAATATTATAATAACAAATATAATAGCAGCAAATACTATAAAAACAAACATAACAACAACAAATATAATAACAAGTATAATAATAAGCAAATATTATAATAACGAGTATAATAATAAGCAAATATTATAATAACGAGTATAATAATAAACAAATAATATAATAAAAAGTTTAATAAGAACAAATAATATATTATTTACCTTCATCTTCTTCATCTATTTCTTCATCGTCTTCAGCATCGCAGTTGGGTTCGAAGTCCTCAACATCTTCAGCGTCTTGTTCAGGCATCTCAGCTTCATAGAAATCCTTTAGAGTTGTATCAACTTCTTCGTCTGTTTGTTTGTTAAACATACACAAACTAGCAGCAATATCCTGTTTGTATACTGCTATCTATGCATGCATGCGACGCATGCATTCGTAGATGCATGCAGAAGCATAAACATAAACATATGCATAAGCATGCAGACACAGAAGCATAAGCATGCGTGCATGCATGCATTTAAATACATTACAAATGCATGCATGCAGAAGCACATGCATGCATGCATGCATGCAGAAGCACATGCATGCATGCATGCATTTGCATGCACGTGGGTTGTGAACGTCTTATTATGTTTGATATGCGTGTGTATATGAGGACAGTCTGTCTTAATTAATTAAAAAGCTTTATTTAAATATATTTATCTCACCTTCTTCTTCTTCATCAGAGTCTGTGTCTGCTGCTTCTCTTTCTTCACCCTGTCTATCTCTTGAATCCAGCACAAGTAATGAAGGTACTAAAGCAAAAACCTTCTCTCTATATTCTGGTAGAGAAGCTACGGGGTTTAAATCTAAACCTAAGTGCTCCAGCTGCCCCAATCTCCCCTGCAGCAGCAGCAGCAGCAGCAGATGAAGCAGCAGCAGCAGATGAAGCAGCAGCAGCAGATGCAGCAGCAGCAGAATTCGTAGCACAAGAAAATACAGCAGCCATCGCAGAAGCAGCGGCACAGCAGCAGATACATCAGAAGTGATAGATGCAGCAGCACATACGACAGCAGCAAAAACAGCAACAACAGCAGCATATATAACAGCAGCAGCAGGAACATTCTACGCCTGCGCTTAACCTCCCCGCCCCAAAGCAGCCACAGCAGCAGCAGGAACAGCAGTAACAGCAGCAGCAGGAGCAGTAACAGCAGCAACAGGAGGACTGACTAGAGGCTGCAGGTCTTCTAATGTTTTGATGTGGTTGCCGCCAAGCTGTAGTTTGCGTAGATTAGGAAATGCATCTGCAATATGCTGAAGCCCCGAAGAGATATGATTATCTGTTGCTTCTAGTGTACGTAGGCCTTGCATGCAGGGGAGATTATTGAGGGTAGCGAGGCCTGTCTGATTTAGAGTTAATTTAGTTAGACCTGTAAACTTCTCCAGTGCTGCTGCATCTTCTGCGCTGATGCTGCGAATGCTTCTACCGTCTAATATAAGCTCCGTAAGCTCCTGGTGTACATCCACCGCATTCAAACCGTTGGGGGCCCCCTGGGGCCCCTGGGGGCCCCCTTCTTCTGCTGCAATCGCTGCTAGGAACTGCTCTACACGTTCAGCTATAGCTGCCTCCATTCTCTGCTGTATGTACAGGTGAGGAAGCAGATAGAGGAAGCAGAGGGAGGCAGCAGAGCGCCCTACGCCGCACTGAATAAAGAGTTTTAAAAAAGAAGCAATAGAACACAACACCGCTGATCTCTAATAACTGCCAACGAAGAGCTGCTGGACGTCTTTACAGCGGATTCGGTGTTTGATAAACCCACAGAAATGCAGGAAATGACTCCTTACTCCCGCTCAACTGTATAAACACAAAGAAAGATGTCCTAAGAAATAGACAACAATCAAAAAAAAGAAGGAGAGGCTCCCGCTGCTTCTGCGGCTGCCGCAGTGGGGGCTCCACCGGTGGGGTCGGTGGGCGATAGGCTGCTGCTGCAATGAGGGGTGCAGTAAGGAAGTATAGAAAGGAGAGCTGCTGCTGCTTTCTTTATACCTTCTTGTGAGTTGTTTGGGTGTTATTCTTCTCAAAGTTCTCCACCTGCATGCAGCTGCCTAAATGCAATAACCCAACAACTGCACAACGGCTTCATCCCCAGTACAGCAGCAGCATGCAGCGCCTCTGCAACGGAGCTGTCTACAAACAATCGCGAGGGGCCTCCAGCACAGCAAAGGGGATGCCGCAGAAAAAGAATATTGCTCTAAAATGAGAGCAAATAACTTATTAAACTTGATTTTCGCTGGTGGTGAACAAAAGCTAATCATAACAACGGGAAAAAACAGGAAAGGGGGTTGCCGTTTGCTGCGGAGGAACGAAGTGCTGCAGACGGCTGCGCGGAAGGGCAGCAGAGAGCAATGAAATAGACGGAGAAAATATGCTGGAGAAACAGAAGAATACAAAATAAACTAATAAAAGTAATTCATCATGCGTGTGGAACATCGTTTGTACCGGAAACTTGAATAATACACGCAAGAAAGCTGCCTATACACCTGAACTGCTCAGTGCTCTGTGTCGAGTGATCGCTGTGGAACTCCGCACATTATTAAATTATATTGTGTTTGGTCTTCCTGGAAATGCTTTTCTTTCTGGTTTTCCTTTTATTCTGCCCCTCTACACTCCACAGAATGGGCGCTATTGCTGCAGATCAGCCCTTCCCTATGCCGCGACTTGCACAGGTACGCAGAGGGAGCTGCAAGCAAAGCGGGATCACCGCATAGAAGGCCGAAACATTAAAAGAAATATATTCAAAATATAAGTATATTCAAATATATTCAAATAAAACAGCTGCCAGGGTTTAATGAAGCAAATCCCCCGCCGTATACCGTCATAAATGTTGCAGCGGAGGCGCCACTCTTGACGGTCGGTCTTAGCGAAATTTCAGAATTTTTAAATTTTTGAGGAATATGAATTTTTGAATTTTTGAATTTTTGAATTACGCGGAGCGCAGGACCCACTGGAAGGTAATTTTGTTTTTGAGTGGATTCTCTCTGCGACCTTTTACGTGCACTGCTTAATGATATAAATGCAATAATAATAACAAATTTATTTATTTTCTCTGGAAACAAACGAGCAGAGCTGAAGAGAAAAGCAGAGGTATAGAACAATACCCAAAGACGACGACAACACCCCCTTCCCTCATTCTTCTTTTGTCTTAGCGAAAGGCGCAGATAAGAGTTACTCACGACCTCAATCAGTGCGTCTCTTTGCAAATACTATCACAGCAGCAGCAGCAGCAGCAGCAGCAACATCAACAGCAGCAGCAGCAAAGTTGAAAGCACCCCAACTTCGCTGTAGGCAGGCTAAGGAGAACCTCAAGGGATTCAAAACCCTGGAAGCAGCTCGCAACAAACTCGCAGGCAAGCACAGCCCTAAGAGCAGCAGATAAGAAGCAACTGCAGTAATAATGATAATACTAATGAAAAAATAGTAGTAATGAATAATAATAGTAATAATAAATAGTAGTAATAACTAAAAATAATCAATAATAATATAACAAGCTTAATATTTGCTTTCATTAGAGCGCATACATCTACTAAGGAACGCCTGAGGCTGAGAGCAGCAGCTGCAAATATAAACAAACCCTTTCCTCTCCTTGGGTCTCGGTCAGAGGGGGAGCAGCAGCAACACTGGAAGCTGCATCTGCTACGATAGCTAAAAGCTGTTGACCGCGGCAGCAGCAGCAGCAGCTGCAGCAGCAGCAGCTGGACTAGCTGCAGCAGCAGCTACAGTGTCTGCAGCAGCATGCGCTAGAGTTGCTATCCTGGCCTCGCCCCGACTTTTTATTATCTGCTGCAGCAACAACTGCTGCAGCTGCTGCATATGCTGCTGCATTTGTTGCTGCTGCAGCTGGAGGTTACTTCTTTCTTTGCTGCATACGAGCTGCATATTTGCTTCTGCTGCTGCGAATAAGATTTTGAAATGTCTCCTTTAAGGAGGTATGACGGGGGGCCCCTTGTGGCTCTGCAGCGCTGCTGCTGCTGCTGCTGCTGCTGCTGCTGCCTTCCCCCCCTCTTCTGTCTGGTGTTGTATTTGCTGCTGTCTTCCCCTCGTTGCCTTCGCTGCTGTGCAGCAGCAACGGAGAAGCATCTGTAAGCCACTCGCTTCGGCAGGAGAAAGCACTCAAATTAGGCAGCTGCTGCTGCAGCTGCGCTGCTGCTGCTGCTGCTGCTGCTGCTGCCGGATCCATACAGAGGCTGCGGAGCCGCTTCAAATCGCCCAGCAGCGGGTGCTGCACCCAGAAAGAAAGCTGGGGGTAGACAGACTCCTGCGCTGCTCGTGCTGCTGCTGTTGCTGTTGCTGCTGCTGTTGCTGTTGCTGCTGCTGTTTTTCCCTGAAGGGTTGCAGCAAAAGCAGCAGCAAGATCTTGTAGCAGCACCTCTCCGTCATCATCTGTGAAGGTTGCTGCTGCAGCGTATGCAGCAGCAGCAGCAGAGAGGGGCTCAAAAGCACACCAAAGCAGCGGCCGGGCTGTTCCATCTGCATCTGCTGCTGCTGCTGCTGCTGCTGCTGCTGCAGGTCCTTGTACTGGAGGCACAGCGAAGGGGAGGCAGCAAGGAGGAAGGCCTGTGCGAGGGTCGGTGCTGCTGATGAAGTGGCGCAGCGCCTGCAGCAACAGCAACAGCAACAGCAGCAGCAACCGCAGCAAAAGCAGCAGCTGCAGCACCAGCAGGAAGAGCAGCAACAGCAACAGCAGCAGCATCCGGAGCACGAGCAGCAGCAACAGCAGCACCATCACGCAGAGCAGCAGCAGCAGCATCCGGAGCAGCAGCAACAACCACAGCAGCAGCAGCAGCAGCACCAGCAACAACCACAGCAGCAGCAGCAGCAACACCAGCAACAACAACAGCAACAGCAGCAGCAGCACCAGCAACAAAAACAGCAACAACAACAGCAACAACAGCAACAACAACAGCAACAGCACCAGCAACAACAACAGCAACAGCAGCAGCACCAGCAACAAAAACAGCAACAACAACAGCAACAACAGCAACACCACCACCACCAGCAGCAACAGCAGCAGCAGCAGCAGCAGCAGCAGCTTACCTTGGAAGCAGGGGTGTGGGGCTGCTGATAGGGAGAGACAACGGCGTCGAACTCCTCAGGGGACTCAACAGCTTCAATATTTTTTTCTATGCGCTCAAAGTCAGGGTGCAGCAAGTTCCAGAGGCGTCTGCGTTTAGGCTGCAGCAGCAGCAGCAACCCCTGGCGCTGTTCAAGAGCGACCAGCGTGCTGCTGCTGCTGCTGCTGCTGCTGCTGCATAAGTCCCTGCTGCTGCAGCAAGCAGCCAATGCTGCTGTACATACACCCGAAGGCAACCCGCAGCAACTGTGAGGCACCCACTGCATTTGTTTAAACGGGTTTACTTTGCTTGTTTCTAAAGATAAGAGAAGGGACTCTATTGCATTTGCTGCTGCAGAGTCTAGCATATAAAGCCCCGTCTGGCTGCCTCTGTTCGCGCATACTGCAGCAACAGATGGCTGCTCCCTGCTGCTGCTGCTGCTGAAGCAGCAAGCAGTATATTTCTCACGCTGCACTCGGTCCTGCTGCACAAACTGCAGCACCAGCTGCAGCGGGAGAGAAGCCCCTCTCTGCATGCACATGCTCTCGTCTTCCGATGACTCCTCGTCGCTCCCTGAACCCTCTCCTGCTGCTGCTGCTGCTGCTGCTGCTGCTGGCGCTGTTGTTGCAGCAGCTGCTGCAGGTGCTTCGGCTTCTGGTGCTGCCGCTGCTGCTGGTGCTGCTGGGGCATCTGTTTCTGCCGTTGTTGCTTGCGCATCTGCATCTGCTGCTGCTGCTGGCCCATCTGCTTCCGCTGATGCAGCTGGTGCATCTGCTGCTGCTGCTGCTGCTGCTGCTACATCTTCTGTTGCTGTTGTTTCTGGTGCTGCTGCTGCTGCTGTTCCTTCTTCATGGGGCTGCAGCCTACGTCTCCTGCTGTGAGGCTCCTCCCCGGAATCTAGCTGCCCGCTGCTGCTGCTGCTGCTGCCGCTGCTTCCGTCAGCGTCCATCATCTCCAGCTGCTGCTCCTGCTGCTCTTGCTGCTGCTGCTTGCCTTCGCTGTTCTCTCTCGGCCTTTTTCTCTGTGCGCATGCGTCGCCTTCCACTTCCGCTGCTGCTGCTGTTGCTGCTTCTGCTGCTGCTGGTGTTTCTGCTGCTGCTGCTGCAGTTGTGGCTGCTGCAGCAATTGCTGCTGGCTCCAAGGGGTCCGCCTCTTTGTTCGTGCACACGTTTGCTTCTGCCTCGTCATCCTCCCCCTTAGCAGCAGCAGTAGCAGCAGCAGGGGCACCGCCTGTTGCTGCTGCTTCTGCTTCTTCTGCTTCTGCTGTTGCTTCTGCTTCTTCTGCTTCTGCTGCTGCTGCTGCTGCTTTGCCAGTGCTGGGGGAGACACAGACAGCAACAATTTTATCTGCTGCTCGCAGCAGCAGCAAACCGCCGTCAGGCCGCGCCTTCACCTCAACAGTTCCTGCTGCAGCAGCAAAGTGAGCGCACCCCACAATCTCTGCCACCTGCTGCTGCTGCTGCTGCTGCTGCTGCTGCTGCTGCGGCTCCGACTGATCCTGCTGCTGCTGCTGCTGCCAGTCCGGCTGCAGCAACCGCAACACCCACATACTGCCAGCTGCCGAACAAACAGCCACAAGCTCCTCAACATCCTGCTGCTGCTGTTGCTGCTGCAACAGCAGCAGCTGCAGCTGCTGCTGCAGTTGCTGCTGCTGGATAGGGAACAGCTGCAGCCTCAGTTGGTCTGGAGGCCTTCGAGTGAAGCAGCAAAAGGGAAAGTTGCTGCTGCGCCCAGAGAGAGACCACCGGTCGCTGCTGCTGCAGCTGCTGCTGTTGCCGCTGCTGCTGCTGCTGCTGTTGCTGCTGCGGGGAGGCAGCAGCTCGCCGCATCGACCCCACAGCGGCTCTGCACGGTAGCAGCAGCAAGAAGGAGGCAGCAGCGCCAATGAAGACAAATCAAACAGCTGAGGGAAACCCGGTTCTTGCTGCAGTAACTGCTGCTGCTGCCGGTGGTGCCGCAGCAGCTGCTGCTGCAGATACTGCAGCAGCAGCTGCTGAGGCCGCAATGCAAAATGCAGCAGCAGCGGTGCGGTGTACGTACAGCTCTCTGCTTCAGACCGAGGATCAGCAGCAAAAGAGACAATTAAAACCATACGCCCCTCACCCGACAATGTCTCTAGATCTGCTGCTGTTGCTGCTGCTGCTGCTGCTGCAGCTGCTGCTGCTGTTGCTGCGGATTCGTTGTTTTGTTTCGAGGCTTCCACCGATGCACCCGTAGGAGCAGCAGAAGCACCAGTGACTGTTGTTGTTGTTGTTGCTGCTGCTGCTGCTGCTTCTGCTGCGCGTGCTGTTGCTGCAGCAGCAGCAACGGCAAAACGCCAAGCACCATCGGCTCGCCTTGCTGTTGTCGTAGCAGCAGAAGGCAGCAGCAGAGACAGCAGCTGCAAGCAGCAGATTTTTACTCTCTCATTCTCTGCAGCAGCAGCAGCAGTAGTAGTAGCAGCAGCAGTTGCAGTTGCTGCTGCTGAGTCTGCCGTCTGCTGCTCTTTGCTGCAAACCTGCCCCTCGCTGCTGCTGCGGCTGCTGCTGCTGCTGCTGCTGCTGCTGCTGCTCAGCTTTCCCCTTAGGCCTCCATCGCCGTCACCCGCGGGAGATGCAGCCCCACGCCCGGAGAGACCCTCCATTTGCTGCTGCTGCTGCTGCTGCTGTTGCTCTTGCTGCTGCTGTTCCTGCAGCTTGAGCTGTTGCTGTTCCTGCTGCTCTTGCTGCATATCGTGCTGCTGTTCTTGTCGCTGCTGTGGCCGCTCATTATCAGCGTCCTGCTGCTGCTGCTGCTGCTGGTCCTCACTTTCCTCTTCCTGCTGCTGCTGCTGCTGCTCCTGCTGCTGTTGGTCTGTATCATCATCCGTTTCGTCCCAGTCATCTCTGCTTTTGCTGCGTTTAGACAAGAGCTGGAGTTGTTGCTTTTGCTGCTGCTGCTGCTGCTGCTGCTGCAGCCCCAGGGCGGGGATTACCTGTACGTACACCTGGTGAAGATCCAGCTGCAGCAGCAACGCTGGCTGCTGCTGCAGCAGCGAGTAGAGGAATAGGCGGCAGCAACTCGTCAGCACCAACAGCGCCCGGTCTGCTGCAACAAAATCCAGCTGCTGCACTGGCTGCAGCTGCTGCTGCTGTTGCTGTTGCTGCTGCTGCTGCTGCTGCTGCGACGAGTCCATTGCTCCATCATTTGAGCTAGAGGGTGTTGGCAGCTCCGTAGGCTCTGCTGCTGCTGCTGCTGCTGCTGTTGGGCTGTTACCGTTTCTGTGCATTTCTTCTGCTGCTGCTCGTTGCTGCTTACTGCAGCAGCAGCAGCTGCTGCTGCAGCAGCAGCTGCTGCAAGGGACCTGCAGCTGAATGTAAGCGTACAAAGCCAAGGTATCTACAGCAAAAATCTGAATATCTTTTGCTGCTGCAGCAGCAAGCAATGCTCCGCTCTGACTCAGAGCGAAGCTGCTGTAACCTCGCAGCAGCTCAGGATACACCCGAGCTGCTGAAGGACCCCCTGCTGCTGTTGCTGCTGCTGCTGCTGGGGGGGATGCAGCGGCTGGGTGAGGGTCTTCCACTGCTCCTTCTGATGTGCCTGCTGTTGCTGCTGCTGCAGCCGCAGGTGTTGCTGCTGCCAGCGTTGCTGCTGCTGAAGCTGCTGCTTCCTCCCTCTTGTAGATGGGGGTCCCACTTGCTCGGTTTGCTGCTGAGTAAGAATCCTTGCTGCTGCTGCTGTTGCTGCTGCTGCTGTATGCGAGGGCGAACAAGGTTGCAGGGCCTGTGGTTTGCTGCTGCAGCAGAAGCTGCTGCCGCTGCTGCTGCTGCTGGTCCCGCAGCTGCAGCCGCTGCACCCAGGGATGCAGCTGTGAACGAGGGAAGCAAGGAAGTGCTTGCAGGTCTTGCGGCTGCTGCAGCAGCAAATCCACACGAGAGGCCCAAGGGGGGCCCCCCTCCTCCGGTGTATACACCTCAGGGGGAGCCATCACCCTAAACCCTAAACCCTAAACCCTAAACCCTAATTTTCAAACCCTTTAAACAAATAAAACAGCTGCTGCAGGCAGAGCAGCAGACGTCATGGAGAAAGGCCTTAACCCTATAGACCCTAAGGGGGGCCCCCATGGGGGCCCCCTGAGGGGCCCCTATGGGGGCCCCCCAACGTTATGTTATAAATGAGTAAGTTTTGCTGCAGCTAATTTGAGGTGTATGCTGAGCTTTAAAGAGGCACAAAGGGTTTAGGGTCTAGGGTTTAGGGTTTAGGGTTTACGGTTTGGGGTTATACAGTGGAGGTGCCCATACACCCCACGCAATTGCGTTTCTTCATTATTTAAAAAGGCAGGGGGGGGCCCCCCAGAGATGGATGGGGGCCCCCAGACCCGCAGCATGCAGCCTTGCTGCTGCACACTGCTGCTGTTTTTGTGTATAGCCGCTGCTGCTGCAGCCCCAGCAAGTGCAGCAACAGCAACAGCAACAGCAACAGCAACAGCAGCAGCAGCCGCAGCAACAACAGCAGCAGCAACAACAACAGCAACAGCAGCAGCAGCAGCAGGTTCTTTTCAACCTTTTGTGTGTCGTTGCATCTATAGGGGGCCCCTTAAACTGCCTCCTTCTGCAGTCCTCTCGGGGCCCCCCTCTTTCCTTTTGGGGGCCCCCTGGGGGCCTTCCCGACCCCTTACCTTTTGCTGCTCAAGGGGGCCCCCTCTTGGGGGCCCCCCCTCATTGCATGCGGCTCAGGGCCCTCTGGGGGCCCCTCTGGGGGCCCCTCTAAAGGCCCATCTGGGGGCCCCTGTGGAGGCCCCTAAGGGGGCCCCTCCGGGGGCCCCTCTGGGGCCCCCACAATCTGCTGATGCTGTAGCAGAGCAGCAAGGGACCTCCCTTTGGCTGCAGCAGCAATTTAAAAATTATCTCAGAGGCTACGACCTCTGTCTCCTCCTCCCTCGCGGCTCTGTAGAAGCACAAACCCTATCCACTACCCTTACAATCGGGGGGCCCCCAAGGGGCCCCCAGGGGGGCCCTCTGGGGGGCCCCCAGGCAGAAGAGGGGGGCCCCCAGGGTGATGAAGAGCCCCTATGGGTGGGTCGGGTCCCCGCAGAAAGCCCAGAGGCTTCAGTGCTGCTGCAGCTGCTGCTGACGTCGCAGCAGCTGCAGCAGCAATACCCCGCCAGGCCTCCGGTGGTTTTCTTGCAGCCGAGAGACCCCCGCACTGCAGCAGCAGCAGCAACAGCAGCAGCAGCAAAAGCAGCAAAGAAAGGGGCAGAAGGAGCAGGAACAGCAGCAGGAGCAGGAGCACCGGGATCTGCAGCAGCAGCAGCAGCAGCAGGCATGCTGGGTGCTGCTGCTTCAGGGCTGAAGTGGGGGCCCTGCTGCATGCAGCATTTAGGGCTCCCTTTAGCCTGGTGCGGTTTGCTGTCTCCTGCTTCATTTCCAGTCAGCAGCAAACTGCAGCCGCAGAAGCTACACCTCCTTCTCAGCAGCTTAGCAGCAGAAGCACAACCTCCTGCTGCTGCTGCTGCACCTGATGCTGTTGCACCTGCTGCTGTTGCTGCACCTGCTGCTGCTGGAAGCATAAGGGCTGAATCTTGTGGGGGGCTTCGGGGGACCTCAGCAGAGACAAGGGGCCCAGCGCCACCTTCAGCAGCAGAAGAAGCAGCAGCAGCAGCAGCAGCAGCAGAAGCAGCAGCAGCAGCGGAAGCAGCAGCGGCAGAAGCAGGAGCAGCAGCAACGGCAGCACGAGCGAAAGGGGCAACAGAATCAGCAGCAGCAATGGGAGGTGCAGCAACAGCAGCATCACCAGCAACATTACCAGCAGCAGCACTACCAGCAGCAGCAGCAGCAGCAGCAGCAGCAGCAGCAGCAGCAGCAGGAGCAGCAGCTTGTGAGGGAGAGCGTTGCAGCGGAGGTATGGGTCGGCCTTTAGGATCTGGTTTTTCTTTATTTTCTGCTGCTGCCTCTCTGTCTAGCTGCCTTAACATATCTTCTTTAACTCATGGGGGCCCCCTGCTTGCTGCTGCAGGGGGGGCCCCCCTCCCAGGGGCCCTCCTTCGTTCAATCGAGAAAACGTTGAGGTTAAGACTTTCTAAGCCTATCCTCCTTAAGACCCTTGCTGAAGTATGCTCATTAGGGTTTATTGTTAGGGTTTATTATTAGGGTTTAGTATCGGGGCTTAGCATTAGGGCTTAGTATTAAGGTTTATTGTTAGGGTTTATTGTTAGGGTTTATTAGAATATAATAGGGCTCATTAGGGTTTATTAGGGTTTACTGTGAGGGTTTATTAGGGTTTATTAGGGTTTATTAGGGTTTATTAGGGTTTATAGGGGTTTAGGCTGTAGGGTGTATTATTATTGTATAGGGTTTACGTTAGGGTTTAGCGACAGCCCTTAACCCTAATAAACCCTAACAGTAAACCCTAACAATAAACCCTAATAAACCCTCAAAGTAAACCCTATTAAACCCTAATAAACCCTAATAAGCCCTCAACGTAAACCCTCATAAACCCTAATAAACCCTAAAATACCTTTATAAACCCTAATAAACCCTAATAAACCCTAATAAACCCTGAAAAGCCCTTATAAACCCTAATAAACCCTCACCGTAAACCCTCATAAACCCTACTAAACCCTAGCAATAAACCCTGATAAACCCTAGCAATAAACCCAGACAAACGCTAGCAATAAGCCTTCGAACGCCTGAAGTTAAGCCCTGAGGAAGTGTTTGATTGTTTTTATGTTTAGGTCGCAAATACTTCCTTTGCTGCTGCTGCTGCAGCAGAGCTCGGGGTTTGTCTCT